CCGCCTGACGACTCACCACGGCTTTTGTCTCCTCTGAATCCGGCCACAGGGGACAACATCAAGGGTGGGATTTCCTTAGGTGGACGCCTGACACTGGGATCTGGTTTCAGAAACCACTCACCTGTGGTCTCAAGATACGTGAGCCATTTCCTGGCGAATGGTGACGGTGCTGTGTGCCAGACCCCCTTCCTCCCTGCCACCCACTGCATCTTCCCTGCTGTTACGACGTCTGTCTGTAACCTGAGACACCTTCGTTTTCTGCAGTCCTGTAGCTACAGGGTTTCGGTACCATTTTTGGACATCCACAGCCGTGTACTTCAGAGATGCTGGCTGCTTCCTCGCCTCTTCAGAAACCAGCGCCCTTACCTCTGGGTTGACACGTGCAGCTGACCACGAGCGAAGCTCTGCTCGCTCCCCGGTGAGACAAGAGACTCTCGAAGACAAGAGGCGAGGAATGCTAACCCTGGTGGACCAGAAGGACGTTCCGAATACTGGGGTCTTTCCCTCCCAGGGCGGCCTGGCCGAGCCGTGGTCTCGAACCTGGACGCGTGTGTCAGGATATCACAAAAGGAGCTAGGGAGAGATGGCTCAGGGCTGCTGTCGGCTGTAAGGCCTTTTGTTTTGTTTCCATATGGCGTCCTGGCGTTTGTTCCCTCAGTACACACGAGGTCAGCAACCGACCGTAAATGTTCAAAGGATGAGTCTCTGTGATGTGAACATTTTATTAATGTTGGCAAAAAACGTCCTTCTTCCTTCCCCACAATTTTCCAGAAGGCTGTCACTGACTGTTCACATTTTTGTTCCTTAGCTAGGGTCACCAAGGTTGTCTAAATGTCTTCCTGCTTGAGTTAGGGCTTGAGTCAGCTGCATCAAAGTCAGAACGCCTTTTTCAGAGCCCCATTGGATCCGGACCCTCTGGGGTTCCTGTAGTTTTCCCCTAATATACCCCGGCCCAGAGCAAGCCCCGTCTGGACCCTCGGGAGCTGGAGTGCCGGGACACAGGGCTTTGGTGGTGATGCCTAAGAAGCTACCGAAAAGCACCCGAGAGTCCAGCCCATCCGCGCAGGTGCCAGGGGAGGCGCAGAAATGCCGTTCCTGGGCACAGGGCATTGAAGGGGGGACGGCCATCTTCAGAGTGGTCCACCAGAGAGCCGCGGAGATGGGGATGGGAACAGACAGAATCGCTCTGTGGAGAAGAGCGCAGAAACAGTGAGGCTCCCCAAGTGCTAACAGCCTCAGGAAGGGCGCCTGTCTAGCTGGGGCTGCCTGGAGCCAGAAGCACCCACAGCCCGACCGCTTCCGCTTGAGCTCTGACCGAGGATGCCAAAGCCAGAAGCGTAACTTTGTGAGGTGCTCTGGCTGGGCTGCGATGAAGAGGGAGTGTGGAGAATAAGTGAAAGAGCAAACGCAGTCTCTGGGGTGCTGGTGAGGGCGGGGGAACCCCAGGAGGGCCTGGGGTGAGGGTGGTGCCCCAGCGTCTCTGAGCAGCCTTTGCGTCTCCTGTTCTGCCGAATGCTCTTGCATCCTTCCGTCTGGGAAGCTATCTTGGGCAATTCCGTATTCTCTCATTTTTGCTCTGGAATGCCTCGTGGTTGAGTGTTGGATCTCCTGGTCCTGGAATTTCTTATCCTTTCGTGTCTGTTTTCCTTCTCTGCTCTGCTTTCAGGGAGTTTTCTTTATTGTGGGGGTTCCTTTGAGTTCTCTTGTCAACTCTTTCCTGTTCCCTGAGTGCTTCTTTGATGTAAATCCTGTTCTAATAACAGAGATTGAGCATGTTTCATGTGCGTATTGATGAGTTTTCTTTTAAAGTTTTTTTTCTTGCATCACCTCCGCTGCCTCCAACTTGCTTTGCTTCATTAGTTTTAGCCTCTGTTTTTCATACTCTGTTTTCATAGGGCAAAAATGCCAACACTTGTCTGCATATTAGAATCATCAGGAAATCCTTAAAAACTCAAGCATCCAGACCTCTTGCCAGGCCAATTAAATCATACTCTCTGGGACTAAGATGAAATAATTCGTCTTTTTCAGAGCTTTCCAGCGTTTTGTGGAGTAATTCCAGTTGCTTCTCTGCCTTCGTCCTCTGTTGTCCTAAGATTCAGCTTTCCTGTCTGGACCACTTATCCATCTGCCTCGTTTCTAAAATTCTATCGCTGCTATGTCTTCTCATGTTATTTTTTGACACTGTGTGTATGACTCATTTATTGTTATTGTCGTTTTAATAGGGTCTGAAGAAGGAGCAGAGCATGGAGTAAGGTCAGGAGGAAAGGAAGGGCTCTTAGAGGAGGTCAGTTTCAAACCGGAAGGAAGGGTCCCTCTCATTTAGTCCTAGTGGATATTGACACAGGGACAGATGTATCAGCAGTGATTTTACCTTTGCCTCATTAATTCAAAAAGGGGCTGCTCCCTTAAAATCCACCCAAATTTTCTATAACTATTAGAGCGCTGGCACCACCCTCAGCTATGCAGTTAAAACCTCATATAGTCAATGTTTCCTCATTTATGGTTTAGTCGCTAAGTCCTCTTTGCGACCCCATGGACTGTAGGCCACCAGGCTCCTCTGTCCCTGGGATTTCCCAGGCAAGAGTACTGGAGTGGGTTGCCATTCCCTTCCCCAGGGGATCTTCCTGACTCAGGGATCAAACCCAGGCCTCCCGCATCGCAGGCAAATTCTTTACCAACTGAGGTATGAGGGAATCCCTACTAATTTATAACTAGTGATAATGGACTTGGTCAAAGTTTGCTTTTCTCTATTTGTTTTGGTTAAAAAATTAGTGTAAACAAGATTGCAGTCTGGTAAACTGGTTAAAAGAAAAATATTCAAGGATCTTACTAGAACTTAAATGCAGGAGGGTGAACAAGTTGCTGTGCTTGCAGATGCTGTTGATCTGAATCTGACCTGCCCTGCCCTGAACCATACTTTAGTAGCTATTAATTTGTGTCACTGAATTAACAGAACTGGAATAAAACTCTTTCTTCTTTTTAAACAGATTTCATAATTTTTTTAACATACTTTTAGTCTACCTGAACTTGGAATTGTGGAGTGTTTAATGAAAATAACAGGAAGACAAACTGTGAACTGTAACATGTCATCTTTAATTAATAAACCACTGAATATAGGCAAGGAATTCAAGGCTATAAAGCACCGTGCCTTTTCACAGTCAATTAATACAGAATTATTTGGCATGTCCAATTCTGTAGCTAGGTGGGAAATTACTGTATTTAATTGCGTTCAAGCGCACACGTTTAGCTGTGAACCAGGGCTCTCTCTCCTGTTCTCAGGGCCTGTAACGGAAGCCCGGGCAGCGCTGCCTCGGCCGCACCGCCCTGGAAGTGTGGTGGGTCTGTCGGCCCCGCTGTGACCCCCTGCCCTCTCACCCTCTCTCTTCTTTCCTTCCTCACCGATGAACTTCCAGCGCTCTGGTCCCTGCGCTGGGGCTGACTGGCGCGCTTTCTCCCGTGTGTGGGTGGATGTGACTCAAGGATGTGGGCCCAGACCTAGCTACACATCCTGCCTTTTGAAGGGTGTGAGTGTGTGTGTGAATGTGTGCGAGTGGGGGTGTGTGCCCGCAGAGTGTGGCCTTCTCTCAGGAGTCCGGGCGTGTCCTTCGCTCCTTGCTGGTCTGCCTGCCGCAGCAGTCTTGAGTGACGCCCGTGGAGCGAAAGAGGAGGCAGGGAGCCGGCCTCGGAAAGTCACGCCAAAGCTCCACTGAGACCAGTGACATTCAGCCTTATGCATGTGAAGTTTACAGACTCACAGGCTCCCTAATAACACAGCTGCACCTCTCTGTTTCCTGTTGAGAAAAGAGATGACTAAAGGCTATTTTTATTCACCAACTCTGTCAAGTAGGCTTGACTTTTGCCAACCACACTGGTGTGAACGAACATGTGGACGATGGTCAGAGTCAGTGTGCCACTTAGGAACGGTACGTGGCTTCTAGAGACAGAAGCGCTTCCCTGTGGCTCAGACGGCAGATAATCCACCCGCTATGGAGGAGGCCTGGGATCGATCCGTGGGTTGCAAAGACCCCCTGGAGAAGGGAATGGCAGCCCGCTCCAGTATTCGTGCCTGGAGAATTCCGTGGACGGAGGAGCCTGGTGGGCTACAGTCCGTGGGGTCGCAAAGAGTCGGACACGACCGAGTGACTAACACTTTCTAGAATTCACGCTCCAGTGAGTTCAGTACATGAAGGCTTAGACCCTGAGAGTCTAAAGGTCCAGAGGTTTGGTTCAAAGCCGAGTTCTCTGAGACCCTCCGGCCTCTCCCCCACGTCCCCAGGGAGGTTACTGGGGCTTCTGCCGTGGAAATGCTTTCCCTGCAGCTTGAGGACTGGAAGGGCAAGAAGTTTTCCTTGAAAGCTTTTTACTCTCTGATGCTATGTCTCAATGGCCAACCCTTCTACAAAGGAGGCTGAACAATGTAGTTTTTTAGCCGAACACACAATCCAGGTATCTCTTAGAAGGGAAGATGGGGAAAAGGACGATAGACAGACTGCTCGCAACCTGTGACATGATTCGTCCTGAGACCAGGCCGAGTGAGTGCCTGGGACCGTGGGCAGTGAGGGGCTTCTTTGTGTGTGGGCCAGAGACCCCAGCCCCGGTGCCCCCAGCTCGCTGACGCCGGAGACTGGGGTCTGGGTGTAGAGCATTCCCCAGAGGAGGCAGCTCTTAGCAGTAAAGGGAGCACTGAATGCAGAGCGAGAGGCGGGCGCACGTCCTGAGGATGGTCAAACTGGACAAGCTGTTTGGCTTCCTAGAGGCTCAGGCCCCCCCTGCCAGGAGGAAATGCTCGCCTTTACTCCTGGGAGGGCCGCCGGGCCGGGGTCGGCGAAGGCCTCTCGGCTGGGAGCCTCGCCCGTGGTGCTGCTGACTCGGCGTGCCTTTAACCTGAGGGGCCTGGGTCATAGGCCCACCCGGACGGGGGTCCACCAGGCAGATGTGAGGTGCTGGACCATCCCCTGGAGTCCCACAGGCTGGGTGCTGGGACGGACGGCCACGAGGTCATGCCCCGTGCCAGAAGGCGCTTTGTGAACCACTCGGCCACGTTGCAGGTGCAAATCGGATTTCACGGGGTGCGGGGCCGCTCCCCGCGGGTCCGCCCACCCTGCAGGTCTGCTTGCGTGTCTGCTTTGCGTTTTAGGAGTTTCATTTTTATATTGGCTCATTTACAGATGTTTGATCAGGTGTGAACTTCTACCAAGAAGACTATAAAAAAGCAATTTAGCCAGGGAGTCTGAAATGCCATAGGAAGGGTCGGCCTCTACACAAATTACATACTGGACTTTAAAAATGAACAAAGTTGCTCTTTCTTTTTCACTTCCTTGCGAAGCTCCTTGAAGGAAAGTTCAGGAGTTCACTTTGCCTGTTTGGGGCGGCTGTCTGAGCAGCCACCCTGCCGCGCCTGTCCTCAGTCCTTCTCTTTTCCTGACACGGCCTCTCCCTCCTGCTCACCAGGCAAAGACCTGGGTATGTTTTCAGGCCTGGCTCAAGGGGCAATACCACCTCAAAGCCTCCATAACCAGGAGCCCCCGGAGGAAGCCCTCTTCCCCTGGGCTGGGGTAACCCTGTCTGCATCTTTATCGTAAGAGCATCAGGTGCTAATTGAGAGCTTACCGTGTGCCAGCCACTGGTCTAAGTGCTTCGTATATGTTCACTTCATGCTCGTGAAAGCTGTGTAAGGTCAGAACCCTTATTACCCTCAGCTTACAGGTGAAAATTGAGGCACAGAAGGTTAAGTAGCTCGCTCAATATCACTCAGCTAGAAAAAAACAGCCAAGGCAGGACATGCATCCAGTCTCTTAAGCAATTATAACCTATATGCAATAATTCTGTTGATAATGCATTTCTCAGTCTTTCTCACTTGACTATAAGAATTTTCTGTCAAGGGCTCTGTGTTATTCCTCTGAGCATGTTCAGCTTTCTATCTTGAATGAATGAATGGGTGTATACATACCAGCATGGGAACACAAATTCACATAGTACAAGAAACGTGAAAATGATGAGAAATGACAGTATGGCTCCAACTCAAGCTTCTCTCCACAGTGAACGCTGTTGATAATTTCCTGTGATTTCTTTTAGGAATGCCAGCATATATGTATGTGCTTTGAAGAATTTATCCAAGCAGGATCAAACTTGAACACATTCTGTTCATTACTAGTACATAGAGGGCTATTTTTAACTTAGCGAGACTGAAAAGTGTTTACCCATCCATCCACCCATCCATTCATCCATCAGGAGATGCTAGAGTTTCTTCCACATTTTGGCCATTGTGAATAACGCCTCTGTGAACAGGGTTGTGCCAATATGTTTCTGCATCCTTGCCTTTAGATCTTTTGGGTATACACTCAGAAGCGGGATTGCTGATCACGTGGTAGCTGTCTGTTAAATCTTTGGAGGAACCGCCTCATCCTTTTCCCCAGTGGCTGCGTCATTTTATGTTTCCACCAACAGTGCACAGAGTTCCGATTTCTTCACATCCTCACCAACACTTACTGTTTTTACGCTAGGCTCCCAGGCGTGATGGGTGTGGTGTGGTATCTTGTTGTGGTTTTGGGCTTAAGTTATTTAATTTTTTGTCCACATGGCATGTGGGATCTTAGTTCCCTGACCAGGGATTGAACCCATGGCTCCTATAGTGGAAGTTCGGGGTCTTAACCACTGGACCACTTGGGAAGTCCCCTGGCTTTATGTTACTCTTCATTCAAGAAAAATCCTCCTTCATTCTGGGTTTGGTTGAGAGTGTTTTAAGGAGGAACGACAGAAGCGAGGTTCTCCGTGGGATATGGCTCAGGGTATGTTTGTCAGCCAACGTCTTGGCCCAAATAAGGGATCTGACCTTTAAACTGGCTGGGAAACCCTGCACCGCCCGGCCAGGTTGACCCCCAGCGACCTCCCCGGGGATTCCTGAGTGTTAAATTGTGCCCTGACTCTGGGTGGGAACGGCCTGCTCTAACAAAATACTGGTGATGGCTTTGTGCTGGTGTTATGGCAACGGGAGAGTGTTCTTCCAAGTGTCAGGGTCAGGCATGGACACGCCTCCCCAGTGGAGGTGGACTTTCCCCGGGCGGCTGAGTCTATGCCGACAGCTGACCCGCCTGTTCTGGGAACCCTGCATCAAGCTGGTGTTTGTGATGCTTTTCTTTTTCCAAAAACACTTACACACTCGTCACTGTGTGTTAGCCCCTCCATGATCTCTGAAACTAGGGGCGATAAACCCGAGTCTCTGACGTGGAGTGCTGTCCACAGGGGGTGCAGCTGGTTAGCAGAAACGCCCCCAGAACCCAGCCTCCTGACTGTGGGCCAGTGGTCCATCTGACAGAGGCGGTCCCCTTCCAGAGTTAAGATTCCATGCATTTGAAGAGCCTGCTTTCTTCAGGACTTTTTCTGGCTTCAAGCAAAATACCCTGTCGAGCAGGGGCAGAGGATAGCTTGTGTCTGGCCCTTTCTCTGTAGACTCTGGTGGTAAAGACCAGCTCTGTGAAGACGGGCACAACCCTGGGGCCTCCCGAACCTCGGCAGGTACCACCTAGTGCCCCCACAAGCTTTCGAGACTAGGGCTGGTTAACTCTGCTTAGATAAGGTGAGAAACCTCTGCTAATGACGCTCGTGATGGTTAAAAGCAGCGTCTCCAGGCATGAGTGCGGTAGATGGAGGAATGCCCTGGGCCTTCTCTTGTTGCTCTGCGTAGCTCGAGTCAGAGGTCACGGGAAGTTCTATGCCACTGGAGAAGGTCTCTGAGTAACCGGTGGCTCCCTGCTGGACTTCAGGCGGCCTGAAGTAGATACAGGTCTGGGTGGCCCTCCCCAGGCCACTTGCACAAACATGAGCCCACCCGCAACGGGTCAGTCTCCTGGAACTCGCTCTCTGCGAGCTGAGTGGCCGAGAGCGCAGGGGCTCATGGACACAGCAGGTGGACGCCACTGATGGACAAAGGCGGCCAGCTGAGTTTGATGGCGTCGCTCCCCAGAGGTCATCCCACCCCCACCCGGCTCAGATGGCCGCTGCTGAGCGCGAGCCCCGGGGCATGATGAAGCTGTTGTTCCAGGGACAGCAGTCAGCGCCCGCGGGTTTCAGGTTTCGTGACTGTTAGTGGGAATGCGGTGAAGGTTTCCTCAAATAGACGCGCTCACAGTATATTCTTTTCTGCTTTAAAACAAAAGAGGAGAAAAACCCACCTCACCTGCCGCCTCTGACATGTTATACGCTTACTTGCAAGATGTATACCTTTGACTGATTATTTATATCTTTATAGAAGCACCTCCCTTCTTTCCTCCGTGACTGGAGGAAAGAAATTTTGTTTCCGAGGAAAAACAATCATTAGTCCCTCTTAGGACACTCTTCAGAAGACTCCCCAGAGCCTACTTAAAAATTACAGACCCGAAATGTTACCTTATTTCTTTTAAACCAAAGATACCCAACGTTAGCATTACTTAAAAATAGTTTTTAATTAGTGGATAATGTTACGTATGAGATGCCCTTCCAAAGCATCTTAGCACTTTACAGCTTCTCAGATGATACCACCCTGTGAAAGTGTGTTCGTGAGCCCTGGGCTGACACCCCACGCAGAAGCTCATGAAGCGTGGCCAGAAGGTCTCCCCCTGTGTCATACTCAAACACAGTTCGAAAATAAAAAGTCTCATCCTCATTTCATTCCATCTTCACTGAGCCAGAGGTAAGAGAATTTCATGAAAGTTTGGAAGTAACTGGTGACTTGAGGATATTTAGAATATGGACCATCTGAGGGTGAAGACAAGGACAGCTAGAAAATACCTCCACAAATTTGTAAGTTGTATTCATCAGGGAAATGTTGTGCTAAACTCATTCTTTCTTCTCTTGGGTCATTAAACTGGCTGCCGTGAGAGTGCCATGACTTAGATTAATTTCCGCAACTCAATTCCTTGCCGTATCTTGTGGGAAATGCAGAGGCTCGTGAACTGGCTCGCAGCAGAGCGGGCGACGCTCTCATTGGCTAGAGAACTGTCCTCAGTACAGAGCCCGGAGCCGTGGTCCTCAGCGTCCTGCCTGCTGTGGCGTGGCCGGAGGACCGCTGTTCCCAGCCTGGACTCGTGTGCGCTGCTGTGTGTAGACCAGCTCCCTGCCACTCGAGAAAACACACCTCCAGACTAGTCAGGGCGAGAGGTATTATTATGAGAATTAACTCACCACCCCGATCCGGAAAATGGACGGCTAGCAGATTTCAGTACCTGGGACACTACGAGTAACAGCGTGTTTGAGCATCTATGAGGGCCCCTAAGTAAAACAGGCTGTGCTGTGACCTTGCCCTTCGGCTCGTCCTGTGCATCATTCTAAACTCCAGCGTTAAAGACACTGAAAGGTGCTTCCAATCCTCTGGGGAAGCCCAGCTCCACAGCCAAGAGCAGCCTGCGTGAGAGAGGCAGCTTCAAATCTCAGGAAGAGGCTTTCAGGACCAGAAAACCTACAGATGAGGGAAGTTTTAAGCCAGTACATAAAAGTGGTTAATTTTTAAAAATGAAGATTTGATATCACATCCAAAAGCTTTCAAAAACAAGTTTTGATTTCTGTAAGTCTTGCTCCAAATGGACTTCTCTGGTAAACAGACATGTCAACTGCTAGAAAATACCTCCACAAATTTGTAAGTTGTATTCATCAGGGAAATGTTGTGCTAAACTCATTCTTTCTTCTCTTGGGTCATTAAACTGGCTGCCGTGAGCGTGCCATGACTTAGATTAATTTCCGCAACTCAATTCCTTGCCGTATCTTGTGGGAAATGCAGAGGCTCGTGAACTGGCTCGCAGCAGAGCGGGCGACGCTCTGATTGGCTAGAGGACCGTCCTCAGTACAGAGCCCGGAGCCGTGGTCCTCAGCGTCCTGCCTGCTGCGGCGTGGTCGGAGGACGGCTGTTCCCCGCCTGGACTCGTGTGCGCTGCTGTGTGTAGACCAGCTCCCTGCCACTCGAGAAAACACACCTCCAGACTAGTCAGGGCGAGAGGTATTATTATGAGAATTAACTCACCACCCCGATCCGGAAAATGGACGGCTAGCAGATTTCAGTACCTGGGACACTACGAGTAACAGCGTGTTTGAGCATCTATGAGGGCCCCTAAGTAAAACAGGCTGTGCTGTGACCTTGCCCTTCGGCTCGCCCTGTATGTCATTCTAAACTCCAGCGTTAAAGACACTGAAAGGTGCTTCCAATCCTCTGGGGAAGCCCAGCTCCACAGCCAAGAGCAGCCTGCGTGAGAGAGGCAGCTTCAAATCTCAGGAAGAGGCTTTCAGGACCAGAAAACCTACAGATGAGGGAAGTTTTAAGCCAGTACATAAAAGTGGTTAATTTTTAAAAATGAAGATTTGATATCACATCCAAAAGCTTTCAAAAACAAGTTTTGATTTCTGTAAGTCTTGCTCCAAATGGACTTCTCTGGTAAACAGACATGTCAACATGATCAATTACTATTTGGGTAAATATTTTAAAGAATTATAAGAAATTATAAGAAATAGTTTATTATTCTATTCTGCCTCCGGACGGCTAGTCCTTGGACAACAGTGGCCCCATCTTGCTGGTTTCTCTGCTCTTGACCCTGGCTGTCTTAGGCACACGCTATGGAAGTTTGGTGAATTAAATGCTAGTTCACAAACCTCACAGAGGAGGCTTGGCTGTGACAGAACTCTCCAGTTAAGACAAAGTTTGCAAATTAGGGGGCTAGGACTTTGACAAGCTAACCCCAGGACAACTGTCCCCACCCTTGACTGTGCATTACTTACATGAGGTGCCCAAGAAAATAGACAGGGCACCACTTAAAGTGGAATTTCAGATAACGAATGATTTTTTTTTTTTTTGTAAGGGACACACTTATATTAAAAAATTACTTGTTCATCTGAATTTAAATTTAACTGGGTGTTCGTGTTTTTATTTGCTAAACCTGACAAAGCTAAGGCTTCAGAAAAGGTTGAAACGAGGTCCTCATCTGGCCTGGGATGGGGCGCCAGGGCTGGGTGTCTCGGAGGCTCTCCAGGTGACTGTTCTGCAGCTGGGGTCGTGGGGGGCTGTCCTGTAGGGTGCATCTCGGCCTTGCACCTGTTCTCATGACCTCCGGTTGGAAGCATATGCGCCTCCTTTCCGAGGTATCCTGGGCCTCAGCAGCCCAGGGGCAGGTGGCGGGGGTCTGTGACCGGCAGGCGTGGGAAGTGGGAGTTGTGAGGTGGCCTTGACGTCTCTGCCCTTCCTGAGACAGCGGAGCTTTACCCTGGGGAGTTCTCCCTGTTAGAATTCTCCTGAAAAGTGTCTGTGCCCAGGCGCTGGGCTCCTTTGGCTCATCTCACCATCGCATGATGCTGCTCCCGGCTCTGTACGGTCCTCAGAGGTGATGCTCAGCCCCTGGGCACCCTGAGTTCTTGGGGGGGCCTCCTACACCAGGGCACCCCACAACCCAAGGAGGCCTCAGATTAGGAGGAGGGCCAGGCTTTGCTGGTCCCTCCAAGCTTGGTTGTGTGTGAGAGCCGCGTCTAGGCCTTAAACCCCTTGGACTCCTCCCTGGAGACTGCCGCTGCCTCCTGGGGCCCCAGCCCAGCATCGGGGCCTGTTAGCCAGCAGCAGAGTGTGCAGGGTTTGTCTTCCCAGCTGGAATCCACAGCGGTGTTTCTCTGGATTTCTGTTTGCTTTTCTCTGCTCACTTGTTGGTGCCGGTCACACATCTGAACTGTGGAGCTTGCCACGGCCTTGGGTCTGAGGCGGGCGAGCCTCCTCTGAGGACAGTGCCCAGTGGGAGGACGGGGACTCGAGCGTGAGGTCAGGCCTGGCCCTGGCTTGCTTTTGGCTGGACCCTGCACCTCCCTGGCAGATCTACAAGTAAGACAGCGCTGCGGACAGAGACTGGAACCCCTGAAGGCAAGCCAACGCAAGTGTAAGATGGTGGGTTTTATTTTAGATTTGTACAGTTTGAAATCCTTATAGCATGACCAAATGGTAAGATCTAGTAATCAATGGAATCATGGGATTAAACACAGAATTCTGAGATCATTTGTGTAGTTTAGTTGAAAGTGTTCATGAGTCCTCCAAGGAGAGAAAGACTGGGGCTCGGTGCTCACAGATGTCAAGCACATGGTGGAAGAGAAGCCTGGAGCGGCGTGGCGATGGCCAAGGCAGGAAGACGTGCCAAACAGCCATCAGCTCCTGATCACGCGTGGACTCTGAGGACCACTCCTGGGATGAGGTCTAAGAAGGCGCAGCATCGTCTGCGAGGATGGGATTGTCTGCAATCTGATAGGCATGTTGCTGATGAAGGGAGGCTGAACCGTTAGATATTTTTACGAGTGCCCTATCAGAGGTGCTCCTTTAGAAAGAAACCAGATAGCGTTTTCAAGGATGTGAGCTCTGTAGGAAAAGTACCGCGGTGTCCTAGCCAGAAGGCAAACCCGGTCTTAATAAAGACTTCTGCACCAAGGCGGCCATGGAGGGAGGAGGCCAGAGCTTTCCACTTGTGTGGGAGCACAGAGGAAGACGCCAAAAGATTAAGTGGAAGGGACATATAGTCCTGGAA